GTTTTCCAAAAATATTTGTATTATATACAATTAAGATTAATATTATGCCATACATTTTACATACGAATTTGATGATAAAAATTCAAACACATTTAGCAAAAAGATCATAAATTAATAATTTAATTTTTTGATGAATTTTTATTTACAATATCTGTAAAATATATCTATTATACTTACACAGCTACTTTTACAGTATTTAAATTCGCATTTGCTCTGTAATCAATAAATACAGTAGAGAGAAAGCAACAAAATGTTAGGCACGCCGAAACACTTAACGTATATGCCACAATAGCATTATTGCGCGCAAAAACAGAATGCATCGTTACGTTTTAATTAATATTGGTGATTAAAATATGCGAAATTTGAATTTAGTAAATCACTCGATCGAATCATGCATCAAAAATTCTAACCAAAATCATCGTCAGCACGACTTGGTATTCAACGTCAGCACTCAGACACGGTGGATCACCGGGTTGGTGTTCGAAAATAAATCGAACATTTTACGTGTTCACAAATAAAGCAAATTTAACTACAGTTATTATGATGTGGTGGTTTACTTAAATTATATGAATTTATTACTTGCTGTCTTTACTGTACAAATATATTTGTGGTTTTTGCATTTTTCATAGAAAAAATACTACTAAATGGGTATTACTATAAAAATGCTACTAAATAGATATTATTGTCATAATCTATTGTTTACAGCATGCTGTATAATTTCATATTAGTTTTATACTATGAAAAATCAAGATATAGATAAAGTTTCGTCCAATTTTATTATAAGAAACTGTAAAAAAAGTTTAATTCAATTATAAACGTTTAATTCAATACTTCCAGAAATTTGATGACTATTGTTCATAGTGATATTATACATGCATGCATTCGTGTAATATATAGTATTTAAACACGTATGTATATATTTGCACTAAATTACTAAAATATAATAGGGTTAATTGATGATCTAATTTGCTTCTTTAAAATGTTAAATTTACATACACATGTAAGTATGTACATCTATATCAAATCATTTCAGTTCACAATACATAGTTTACTTTTTTATCTGCAGCAACTTCAAGGAAGTGCAGATTAGTACGCGACAATGTTTATATGCAATGTGAGGTGTACTGTTTGTAAAGGAATAAATAATTTATCTTAGAGAACGAGTTGAATGCTTTGGATATGTCGCATTTGGTAAGTATGCAAATATTATTGAAATGTTTTTCTGATTACGCTTAAATTCAAAACATTGACCATTCAATCGTATACTTTCAAAATGAGCTTTAAGGTCTACTACAAATTTTTTTAAATTACTTGTCCTTAATATCAATTATTTTGTATTATAATTTTCTTACTATCATAACTAGTATTTTATGAGTATTAATAAATTATATTATTTGCTAAAGAATTCTTAAAAATATATGACAGATACAATTACGATATGAATCATAAAGAACGTTATTTATAAACTATGTAATTAGTAATACTGAATAAAAGTTTTTTGTTTATTTTCTGTGTAATGTTTACATCTGATTGTAAGGAATACTGTGTTTTAAAAGTTTGATCGTTTTATTCTAAATGTTAATATTAACCTTAAAAGTATCAATTATAATGTATTTTTGATGGTAGTATATTTGCAATATTAGAAATATGATTGTATAGTATAATTAATTTAGTTTATTATCTTTATTTCAGAGAAAAAAAGAATGGGTTGTATCAATAGTCGAACAGATATTAATGATCTACACCCAAATGTTTTTCAAGTGATGAATGTAGATGATTTAGGTAATTTAATTACACCTGGCCGCTTAGAAGTCACAGAAACAGATATAGTGCTTTATCAACGTGGTAAACAGCCAATTAAATGGCCATTACGTTGTTTGCGACGATATGGCCATGATGCTGAAATTTTCAGTTTTGAATCAGGAAGAAGATGCTCTACAGGGCCAGGCATTTATGCTTTTAAATGCCGCAGAGCTGCACATTTATTTAATCTTGTACAAACGAATATTCAGGTTTATATTTCTTCACAATATAAAATATAGAAATTATATTTATCATGAACTCAATGACAAAAATTTATGTTATTAATTTAGAATAAAAAACTTTGTTTTAAACATCAAAGTGTTTATAAATAAATATTTCTTAAAGGAAATTTATTTTAGGTTTGTAATAACAGTGGAGATGATACGATGACCAGAGAACTTCCAGTTGCTTCTCATCCTGGTCCAACAGTGACAAGAGTGACAATACCAATTGAGCCTAATTATTTGGATCCAATATTAAATAGAACTAATAATCATATGGGTCCTAGATTTGCTCATAATCAACAAAATGGAGTTGGAAGATTAGATAGTGTGGGAAGTAGCACTGGTCTTATATCACCCCAAGGAAACATGAGTTCTCCTACATCACCTCCTGTGCTGCCACCACCACCACCACCACTCCCTCAACCACATCCGTCCTCACTTTATGTCAATGAAGAAATATTGTCATCTCTACCATTGGAAATGGAACATAATAATAACAAAAGCCTTAGAAGAGCAATACAGAGGTAATTCGAAACTTAGTTGTGTTATTTATATTATTTAATCTTATTAATAATTTTATGTTATTATAGGTCTTGTACAGTGAGTACTACTATATCTGATAATGGTTCAGCTTCATTGAAATTGACATCTATGCACAAAGGTTCAGAAGTCATTCCTCAAACTAAATCACCACTTTCAGTAGCAACTTACATGAATGTAAATATTAATAGTGATGTTAGTCCACTTTCTCCAACTCATAGTGTTTCTGAAGCAATGCAGTTTAAAGAAGACAAAAATGAAAACAGTGAATCTGGGCATGCTTATATGAATATAAGTCCTGGTCAAGAACATGTAGAATCTCTTGGTGCTAGACCACGACCTTCACCATTACCATTTATTCAATCTGATATAGAAGACCCAACAAGACACTGTTACGCTAATTTAGAACCAAGTGAAATCGAAAATTTAAGAAAAAGATTTTCTGGTGTATCTGTAGCAGAAAAATCACCTTTGCCTCCATCAACACCTACAGGTGGTCCAATTAGGGAAGTAAACTATGCTGTATTAGATTTGGATACAAAGGATGTACCAATGAATTTGCCATTAGATGGCCCTTTAAATTCTTCTGCATCTCCCCCAGAATCTCCAAATAAGCTGCAAAAAGGGTATGCTACAATCGATTTTAATAAAACAGCTGCTCTTTCTCATTCAGTCAACCCAAATCTTGTAAATGATAACGAGGGTTCAAGGAAAACACGTCACAATTCTACAATTAGTGACTTAGCAGCTTCTGGTAGACGTAGTTCATCTATAAGTGAATGATCAGTCTTTTATTTGATAACTGTGCCTGTATAATGAATATTCATAACATTTTGCTTTACTTTTGTTACTCTTATTAAATTCAAACATTTGATGGCATAGAACCAAGGAACAAATATTAAATTAGTTTGTACATATTTCATATACACGTTTTTTACATTAAGTGAATGCAAAAATTTTTCGATTTCTGTTGTACGTATCAGTTTTGAATTTGTAAATGAATTAAGATGAATGAAAATTTGCAATAGTTTTATACATCAATTACAAATGTTTTCTTTAATAATCAAGAAATGGTAGTTTTCCACTTATTTTATGTTAGAAATTGTAGCCAGATATCTAGCAATCAGGAGTTATCCAAGAAAAATTGTGTTGGACTGCAAGCGATATATTCTTAATACGAAAACAAATAAACTGTCATTATCAAATTCTTTCTTTTACAGCTTCTTCATCATATACTTGACAAATATTTTTGCAAGCTCGAGCTGCACTAGTACATTTTTTAAATTCATATAGTAACAAGTAATGCAGAAACTGACAGAACTTTTGCATTAACCTAATATACAACAAAATTTTGAAGTTATATAAAACACAAAGCATTTAATTAAAAAATTGCAATTCTTGGTTTATTTTCTATGAATTGTTTTACAATTTGTTATTCATACCATAGCACTTAGTTTTGTACAGTGTACACAAAGGACAACACAGTATTTTTAAAGGATAAGTCTTTTTTCAAAGTGCTGTTGGTATGCACAAAGGAAAAATCTCTTTTATATGATATACAAATGTGTTTATAGAACATTATAGATAAAATGATTTTTTACATTAACTATTGTGGGGGAATTGGAAGCAAAAGTATCCTAATTTTCCTGTATCATAGGAATTGATGAGGCTCAAATAGACTAACTGAAATAAAAGTACATGACACTATGATAACACAAAAAAGATGACAATGACATAATATATAATTTTAAATGACTACTTTCAAAGTAGTCAATTAAAATCTAACTATGGCCATAATTTGGAGTGATTTTGATAAATGATAGGTTTATAGTGAAACATTACATATGTGTGAATATACATATACATATATATACACTGCTCGCGCACGACACACACACACACACACACACACAAAATCTTGTTGCTCTTTAAAGAAATAATTTTAAACTTCACAATTTTAATGAAACATTATCATACTCTATCTACAACTTAATATATTTTATAATTATTTACTTTATAAATTAAATGATACATCTATATCTATACATGAACTTTGGCCAAAATATGTTTCTTCTAAACAATTAAAACAGATACTTTAACTAATAACAAGAACATATATTTAAAATATATATGACATAATAGGTTATGATAGATTTTTCTATCTAGTACATTCAACAGAACTATATTTTTTGTGTATTAATAAGTTTTAATTGCTTTTTGTTATTTAAATATACAAATAATGCTTTTTGTTTATGTAATTTTTGTTATGAGCAATGAATTCTTTTTATAATTATTTTGCCCAAATTTAAAAAATTTTCAATATTATTTTGTTAAAACTATTACAATTTCAATAAAATGCAGATGTTAATACTTTATAGACAAAAATACTTTTTTATTGCATGTATAAATTATCATACATTTTTGTACAATATTTTACATATTTAAAACTTGAAAACTATTAATAATCAAAATTGACATTTTGATCACTAATATTTTTAATATTGAAAAATTAAAATTTTTTTATTTGGTTAGGACTTTTGTATTATGCTCATACTATAGCTTTTAATTAATTGTAATTGTCGTTACTAGTTTTGCTATTTGATTAAGTTTAAGTACTAAATTAGTAAACAAATTTTATAAATATTTTAGCATTTATTACAATACAGAAAGTAATATTTACTGTTATTTTTATTAATTTTGCATTGGACCATATTTACTACATAGTTTTGTTAGCCTTTTTCTATCACAAGATATTAATGTTTGGAAGGGGCCAATCAAAATATGGTAACAAATATGGTACATTGCTAAGTATAATATTACGATTATAACTATTTTCTACATTAGATATTATCAAAAATATAATTGAAATATACAAATATGAACATATACTTCATTAAAATAATTTATTTTTTACGAGGATGTAAACATTTTTTAACGAGAAAGAAACGTTACAATGGTCTTAGATGATATTCTCTAACAATAATTGTTCATTGAACCTATTAATTACTTTTACTTTTAGAAATAGCATTGCATGCTATAAACAATTTCCAATACATTATGTAGTACTATTTTTGCAAATTAAAAAGCATCTTTGTGTGAATTAAGAGCTTTGTATTTCATATCTAATAGTAAATAAGAAGCAACAGGCCTATATGGAAGAATGAATGTTTTTATAGTACATGTAGTGAACACAAGTTATAGAAATTATTTTAGTAAATAACTGCACATCACATATATTCATTATATATTTTAAGCAGCCATATCTATAAAGCCAAAGAATCTATTCTTATTTATTGAACCTAAAAACACATTTACACCGTTTAATTCGTCAATTTTCTTTTGAAAATTAAATGTTCATAAATATTATTTCTAGAAATATTTGAGAGCATTGTATTGAATATTAATTATGAATTGTATACCAGTGGAAAAAAGCAGCATTATGTTATATGCTGTATTCTCTTTTTGTCTTTTAATTTCTAATCAACTACTTACACTTATCTACTGTATTCAATTTTTCTTTGTTTTAATGTTCTCCTGTTATTATATTTTTATCATTTATGTCTCACTTCAATTTCATTAGTATTAAATATACAGAAGAATTTAATAATAAACTATTAAAGTGAAAATTTTAAGATAGAAGCATCAATTTTTTAAAAATATGTTCTATTCTTTTTTAAATATAACTTCTTTAAAGATAAATGAAATGTTAAACAAAGAATGAATACAGATTTTTCAAATTATTTTATACGTATTCAGGCATAAGATGTTCTACATTTAAAAAATACAAAATATTGTAAGATAATATATATATAAATTCAACGTGAATGAGTTTAAAATATTGTGTATCTCCATCCATGATATTAAATAATAGCACCAATTTGAAATGTTTATTGTGGATATGTATAAAATGGAATTTGTGTTTTATTGTACTGATATATTGATAATAGTTCACTTCGATGTTTCATAGAATGGTAGTGTGATGTACAATTTGAAATTGCATTATATTTCATCTTTTAGTATATATTTTACATTAAGTTTCAAATTTTTTTCCAAAGATATAAATATTTTATATTGTTAATAAAAAAGAGGAGTCTTGTGAACAAAATGTTTCCATAATTATAAGAGATTTGAAACATAATACTTTTCTGAATACTAAAGAATATCAGAAGGAAATTTGTTTCATTGGAATAAATTTTAAAGTACTATAAATTCTAGTGTAAAGTATGAAAAAATGTTATGTTCATAAAAATGATCGGGGTGCATTGCTTTATTTTTTGTACATGATATAGATGTACCATAGAATTATACATCGAATTGAATGTAACAATAATATAATATGCAAGTGTTTCATTATACATGAGGTAATTAATACTTTTATATTACTACAAAGATAAAAACTTGTCTTTATCTTCAAATACAGCAGTATTATATCAGGCCAATGATTACAATTTATTAATTTTCAACAAGTTATAGTAATTCATCAATTTTTACATGTTAATTCTTAAAAGAATTTTCAAAATACAGATTTATTTTCAACTAATATAGAAACATTGTAATAAAAGTGCTCTAAAATGCTAAAACAACATTTTTTTAATTGACATTTTATAAAGGAATAAGTCATGCTTATTCAGATCATATGTATATGTGTCGTTTTTAAAAATAATGCAAAAATATCCTGCGACTATTTTTTATATGTTGCAGATGCTATTCCACTAAACAAAAAAGTTACGTTTGCTAAAATAGTGAAAACAAATCAATTAATAATTAATTTTTAAAACTAAAAAAACGTTGCATTACACATTTTAGGCATTAAATACATGAAATAAAGGAAACAATTTTTATATAGCAATTTATAAAAATGTGCAATCTTGCGTATCGTTGCAATGCAACGGCAAGAAGAGTTGTAAATAAGTGTGGCGCAACGACACATTGGGCAAGCATGCTGAACGTGCAAATACGGAATGTAATGGCTGTGAGGTATTCAATTCTTCGACTGTCATTTTATAATTATGTTAAAAAATAATTCATAAAGAGATTCATAATTTCTTTTAAATATGTGTTCTAACAAAGTATTATTCGCTATCTCATAGATGAATTAGAAGAAAACTTTTATTCATCATCAAATAATGAATCGCTAATAAATGAAAATATTTATTTTACATTTACATATGTAGAAGACTTAAAATTTATAGCAATTTGGTTTAAATTAACACTTACAATATTGAATTGGAGAGTTTTTTTAATTGGTAGTACCTATAAAATTAAATGTTTAATATATCAAAACCTACAATTTGTTAATCAAAATTCTTATATAAGTAATCATTTATCAATAGACTTTTAATATTAACACATTGGTTCTTTTAAGAGAGTGATGTTATTTATATTTTCAATTAATAATATGACAGTCAAAGAAGTAATATACATTAATTATTGGAGTGAAACATTGGTTACTGTACTTTCCTGTATTTTAAACTGCAATTAGAAGATATAACACTAATGTTTTACAAGATATCAAAAGATTTATTTTCGTATATTTTTTATGTTAAGGGAGAATACAGTAATTATAAACTTTGTATTTTAAAGTCGTTACGCAACTTTTGTTTACATGTATTACGTTATATTTGCTATCAAATTCTATTTGAATAGAATTAACATGAAACGTAACATGAAATTATTTTATACATATTTGTATATAAATAACTATAAAAACGTTATTAGTTCATTATTTCCTTCTGTATGATTTGTGTGTACTGTATAAAATATATAGTAATGTTATTTCAATTGGTGTATTCATTTTTGTTTAGAAAATAAGTATTAGAAGATAATAAATTAAGTATAATGTTAAAGGTATACTTAATGAAACAATACTTAAATTGATATATTTCTTTATTTAAAATGTATATTTCAATATCACACAGTCTTTAAAACGGCACTTTTATCCACAGCCAAAAATTATGGCATTTATATAACTTTCATTATCTCTGTTCTAGTGTCACTTATTTGAATCCACTAGACAGTCTTGAGCAACAAGCAAATACTAACATTTATTACTGAATAACAAAGAAAAATATGTACATATGAATTGCAATATTTTGTAATAAGAAGTCATATATACTTAATGAAATCAAATTGTACTTCAGGTTTTGGAACACTCCAAAAACGTCGAGTTATTTTAACACATTTTTTTTTCTTATTAATTTTATAAACTTTCTACGTAAATAAACATGTTGAACTGATTTACAAATATACATACTAGATTTAATAAAAAAATTATGCCATTTTTTATGTAATAGATACTATTTAAATTCAGCCATGACATATTTTGTAAAATCACAAAAAAATGACAAACATTAAGTTGATGTTTTCTAAATTATAATACCAAGACTATATAAAAATGCAAAATACTCTTTATACTATTATAGAAATTACGTGTGAACGACGGAAATACAATATTTTAATACGATTATAATTTTTTCTTCTTTTCTTACTTATTAAAATAGAAATTTTGTTCATAACTTTGAAATGTCTACTATTTGTTTCATACGGTCCAATATAAAAAAAAATAACACTAATACTACCAACAAAATAATTGACTATTCGATAATGTTGACGAAATCCAAAATTCTATTACAAATTACATTTCAATTATAATGAAACAAAAACTTGATTGGATTTACTATTAAATCGGCAACCTATAGACAAAAGAGATACAAGAGATAATCAGGCAGCGAGTTGACGACGTCTACTCAATTCGTGATCTATTAAAACGGAAATATCAGGGTGGCGATGAAGAATCGTCGTGCAATAGTGGACTGTTTGACTTGGATCCGCGCCCGCTTTTAGCAACAGTCTTACTGCATTAACAAAGCCACTTTCCGCGGCTACTTGGAGAGCAGTCAACCCTTCGGTGTTTAATTTCTCTAATTGCGCAAGGGGCGATGTAACCAACAAAGAAACGGTTTGATGAAAGCCTCTCGCAGAAGCTAGATGCAATGGTGTATTGCCACCGGCGTCTTGTACACTAGGATCTTCCCCATGTTCCAGCAGTTTCGCTACCATGTCGGCATAGTTTTTTCTAGAGGCAATGTGCAACGGAGTTTCACCATAACGTGACATTATACCAGTTGGTGTGTGTGATATGAGTAAAAACGCGGTGTTTAAAGCACCGCACTCGAGGCACTCGTGCAAAGGAGTTTCTCCTCGATCATTCTTCAGGGATGGATCCGCACCCGCAGCCAACAAAGTCTCGATCAATGATTCAATTTCAGTTCGGTGGTTGTTATCTGTAAAATCATGTATTTTTATTGAATATATTGCAGAAAATAAGGATGTTTCAGAATAATCGATTGTCCAACATTATTATATTCGTACATATATTTTTAATTAAATATTGAATATATATATATAAAAGTTATTAAAAAAAATTATTTATTTGTTAATATCAATAATGAAATAAAATAATACTTCAAGATTAAACTTTTAATACAAATGCGTATAAAGTTGTACCGAAGATAGTAGAAGAAGCTAAAATATGAAGTGCGCTGCGGCCTTGATGATCCTTCGCATTAACAGGACCAGCGCGTGCTAATAAATCGAGCGTTTTCAAAGCTGCCTCGAAATTATGATACAAATTTTTCGATCCTTGGGCGTGAGCTAGCTGCCGGGTTAATATGTGCAGCGCAGTCAATCCACCGCCAGCTTCTTTTACGCCCGAAGGACAACCATGTTTCAGGAGTTCTCCTACGAATTGCAATACGTTTCCTGGCCCTCCATTTAAAATCACTCTGTGTAATGCCGTTTCACCACGAGGGGAGCGCACAGCTGGATCGCATCCGTTCGAAAGTAGCAAACTACAAAAATGATGATATGCATTTTTATCTTCTAACGATATTATTTTCCTACTAAATTCCAAAATTTTTACCGACACATTTGTTACAAAAAATTTTATTCGAATGATTTTTCAATTTTATATAAATATAATAATAAAGATGATTTAAAAATTGAAATTTTGTTAGTATAGGGTAATAATATTTTAGTATTACTAAAAAAACAATTTAATACAGAATAAGTGTAATGTTATTACGTTTCACGCGCAAGATTATTTTTCTACATGTATTTATTCGTGAAAGAAGATCGTAAAATGCTTTCGAGAACAGCGCCGCTTTGAACATCTGGTAACAGTATGGTAAGAAAGGTACAAGAGAGAACCTTATAAGCAAGAATGATTTCACGAATATTTAGCATGTTCGACGGTAAAATTCGTTAAGAATGATTCACGAATACTTCGTCTGCAATAATTCCGATGTTTGGATATTTCTTACGACGTCAGCAACTTCCCCACTAAAATTGTGTGGACAAATTTAGAATTCAGTAAAATCGATAAAATTAGATCGGTGTGTTTATGTTACAAAATATTTGAACCTTTTTTTCCTACGTGAAAAGAAGTACATATATATACTATATACAGTTTTAAAACTTGGTATTAATATTAATTTTAGAACTCGTATAATTGTATATTACATATTATTTTACAATTAATATGAAGTAAAATATGTTTCACGATCAAAATTTAATTTAACATAAATTTGTAACAAAAGTCTTTTAAATAAAAGAAATAATGATCTAAAGATAATTATTATATTTTCGAAATTTTTAAATTATATTTCTTTCTTTATATAGTTTAAATTCTAACTCTGGATAAAATCTTTAAAATAGAATATATGAAAACTTTTTGTTCGTATTACTCATATCACAGATAATGCTTCAAGAATTTACCTCGCGGCTGTACTGTTGCTATACACATATCTTTGTTTGCAGAGTAATTTGGTTTAAAAAAAATATACTAAGAGAGAAAGATCGTTCAAATTTGAAAGCGTATAATCATACGTTTGAAAATTGACATGAAATTCTACATAACAGATAGTAGGAACCCACAATTTACTAGAGAAATTTCTTACCTGAGGACAGGCAAACAATGATTTGTAGCGGCCACTAGCAGGGGTGGATCACCTGAAACATTCCAATCCGGTTCGTCCAGGTTTTGTACAGAGTCACTTGCAAGAAGTGCTGCAACGCTCTTGGCGTCCCCTGCACGTACAGCCTCATGAAAAGTCAGTTCGCTCTCTGGATTATATATTTCCTCAATATCTTGTTGAAAAACTATACCCTCCAATGATCCGTTATAAGCCTCGAAAATGTTCGAAAAGTTGCTTGTTTCCGTAGCGATACTGTCGATAGAGTTCTGCAGTTCTTGCAACTTGAAATTGTCCTTCAAAGAGGAATCGGTTCCACGTGTTCCCGACATTGCATCTTGAGAATCACACTCAGTGAGAAATGTATCGAGTCTTGTCGATACAATCGAATTTGAAGCCGAATTTAATGCACTCAAATCACAATCTTTTAACACTTCGTTTTTAGCCTCGTCCGTGTCGATAATTGCATCTTGATTATCCCCACTGATAATCGAAGTATTTTCATCTTTTTCTGAAAGTTCACCGTCTTCGGTGGATTTTTTACATTCCATAGCGTCTTCATCTTTTTGCTCAAGCAATTCTGGTATATTAACCGATATATAAAGCGGTAGTTTCTCCTGATTAGCAGGGATTTCCTCTTGATCTTGACCACCTGTTGCATGCTTCATCATTTCCGCAGAAGTAAATTCAGTGCTTTCTTCACGCGTCGTTTGCTCTTTCTTGTTGTGCAGTGTTTTATTGACTATCGCGCCCGTCTTCTTCTCTACGTTCTGTTCCTGTGTTATGGGATCGTTCGTATAAGCAGCAGTCATTGTGACGATTGTTGCTCGCCTTTTAATTGAACCTGATTCTCTGGTAATTGGCTCGACGCCTTTCAACAGGAGAATAGTCTCACACCGTGATCTACTTTACTGAAGTCATTGCTATTTTCCTTCCTTTTTTCGTTTTCTTTTCTAATACACCTGCTTGTTCATTACTTTCTCGATACGGTACAATTGTCAGTCATACGATCAAAAGATGTCGGTGAATACGTATTATAAATGTCTGTGCGTGAGTACGAGTGTAGAAACGACTCATAAAACGGACCGACGAATCACAAATACGTGACTGAAAACTAAATGAGCTTGCTTACTGTGCGTCGCTACGGATCTCTCTGTTTCCCCTCTCCTTTTTCTTCACTTCCCCACCCTTGCTCTTTACCCCACTTCTTAAAACCCTCCTGTAGTGCATCTGAGGAATTTATTGTAGATCTGATACCCTAGAAATTGGATTAGATGTTTCTCCTTCGTTTTAACTGCTTTATGTGTTTGAAGCAGTCAAATTTAAGTGATACGAGTTCCGTATGTTTTTTTTCCTTTTTTTTTAGTATATTGTTACAATCTATGTATCTTCAGTCCTCAAAATAACTTTCTCTTACGCTATATTTTAAATTATATTATTATTTAGGGAATTTTTTACCTTCTCCTTTACTTTCCTTTATACTTTAATAATTATGAAACCTTCTGAAAAAATTGGGGACAAAATAAAATACATAGTACTTAATTTTTTCATTTCTTGGTATTTAGGAAATACACTTCATCTAAAGTTAATTTATTTTGTTCAATATTTCTAAACATCTTTCGAAGCTATTCTTTGGAATAACCTTGGTAATTGTATATTTTTAACTATGCAGTGTAATGTCTTCTTTTTAGAACATTTACGGATATAAAATGCATGCTTGTGTGAAAATAGTAATTCAACGTACGTAGAATGATCAACAAATCAGATACGTGACTAAAAATCAAATGAGTTAATTTCACCGATGGGGACAAATTTAAAATTACAAATGTCACTGTTAACCCATTTTTTCTGATTTTAAGTACAATATTCGATAATTAATGTTACTTATTAATAAAAACTTATAACAAAAATCCTTACGTTTACTAACAAGTTTTTACTAAATTTTATATTATATTACAATCAATTATTAATTTTACATCATTAGAATAATACATTTGGTATTTACCAAAAAATGTCTTATTTTTAGTTCATTTCCTGTCCATGTCCTGTAATTAGTTCATTTCAATCATGAGGAAAAATAAGATTACGTTGAAAAAAATAATTTTTTAAAAACATTTTTTCCTATGTTTTATTCATTGCCTATAAATGTGTTTACAGCAGCATATGTTATACATTTATTATATTGAATCAAAATCTGGGCAAAATTTTTTTTTCGATTAAGTTAATATTTCACATGTGATAATATATTCAAAAAGTATTTTGTATAAATTGAGAGTCTTCAAACTGTCGTTAAACGATCATGCAAACAGAGAATTGCATACATAGCTACATATTCTTCTTTTTCGTCATCAATCCCATAGCTATAATTCTTTATCCCACTTCTTAAACCTTCTCTTTGCCCTTCTGTTCGTTGCCCCATCGTAAGGCATAGGTGTCGGTTCTTAAGCTGCGTCTACACTATATAACAACATATTATATGGCAAACTTATAAAACTTGTTAGAAAAGGAGAAAGAAAAATGTTATATAACATTATGTTAAATAACATATTTCGTGTCGTATAGCAAGTTATATGTTATCCATCAAGTGTTGACAAAGTTCAAAGAAAGTCATAAAATATTGTTACATGACATATTGCTAGTTGGCCCAAACCAGTGTAATGTGGTTATAAAACATTTACTATCTACCGTTTGACGTCATTATTAATAACGAGATGCGAAGTGTTTTACAAACTTGTTACAGTCCTGTTACTACAATACCAAAAGGTATAATCTTGCAACAAATTATAAAAACATGTATAGCAAGGTTATAAAACAATTTGTTTTATAACACTGTTTTATTACATAGTTTAGATGCAGCTTTAGGAACGCAAGCATCTCTTGCGTAAGCAACATACAGTTTTATTATACAGACCACATAAAAATAGTATTGGCTTCATTTGGAACTGATAAATTAAAAAATGTACATTATTATTATCATAAGGAATAATAATTTTAATAATTAAAATCTTGTAAATATTTTTATGATAATCATTGCAGTTTAAATTACACTAAATATATGGTGTATTTATTCGATTATAATTGAGTATGAATTATAAAAAATTTGTACCATGCAATACATAATGTAAATAAAGAATTAAATTTGATGTTACAGCAGGAACTCTTTGTGTTTTCAAAACAGTATTTTAAAAAAATATTTAAGGAAATTAAATGATATTAAGGAGAACTATCAAGTATCATATAATAAAATTTGATTGATTTATACAATACTATTCATTAGTTCTCCAAAGAATAGTTCTTAAACTAAACATCAAGTACTTGCAATGTAAGAAATATTAATCTGTTAGACATATGTATAAAATATATTAAGTAAGTAATTAATAATTTTAGTTTGGTCATTTTATTAAATATACATGAACATATAGGTGCATATTTTTAATTTGAAGTTTGAAAAAGAATGGAATTAAAAGTTCCAGTACTAATAAAACAATATACTGCTATTATTGTACAAAAAATTTGTTAAATAAAAATCAACTTGGTGCTTTGTAAGTATTTGAGATGTATATTAACTTCCTAATTACTTTAAGTAGTAATTGCTAACAGTAACATGGATACATAAGTGATATTCTTTAAATATGTATGTATTTCAGAGGATTAAAAAAAAAAATTAGTCTTCAAACAGCTTAATTGATAGAACAAAATGTTACCAACATAAAAATGATTTTCATACACCTATCAAATAAAGAATATATATCACTTTATTTGCTGCGAGATCTAGACACAGATTTAGATTTGCTCCTGCGCGGACTATGATCTCTAGAATCAGATCGCCGTTTATTACGAAGTTTTTCTTTAGTGTAGTCACTTCTACTGTTAGAGCGGCTACGGGACGAAGATCGTGAATGCTTGCTTCTTGATCTTGATCTTGAACGTGAGCGAGACCGTGATCTTGATTGCGATTTTGACCGTGAATAAGACCTGGAGTGGGATCTAAAATGAATGTTCCATTAAAATCGTAATTCTATTGAAATTGCCTACAATTTCAAGTTTTATTGCTACTACTTTATTTTAAGATTACGTTGATGTATACAAATTATATTATATGGAATATCTTACTTCTTAATTTTTTTTATAAATACAACATAAAACAATATATGTAATATACCAAAAAGTTTGTAGCATAATTGGGCTTGCAAAAATTGTGACAAGTACCCAGGAAAACTATAATAATTTATTGCATATTCACATAAAAATAAGAATTATAAAAATATTAATGCAATACATATGGTAATTATTAGAAAAATTAATTTCCATTTTC